ACACATATGCTCTGGCAATGAGACAAATAGAAAATAAAAGACTTACATAACATTTTCTTCGTAAGTCTTAGCAGTTGTAGATGTGTATTGGTACTTAATAATTGCTCTTTGCTGGACCTGCAGCAGTAGCATAGTGGTAAAACAATCCTCTGCTGTTCTGGATCCACATGGCAAGGTCCTGGTTTGGGATCTGGAGGGCTCCCTATGTCCACTGGGCACACGTGTGCCTGTGAGCTGGGCTGGCTGAGGCTGGGGATGGATCCTGATGTGGGCACCCTGTCGAAGGTGCTTGTCTCTCTTTCTCTCCCCCTCTTTTTCTGTCTTTCTCACTCTCATGGAAGACATAAAATAAACCTAACAATAAATACATAAATCATTTTCTTTGCCTGGAATGCCATTCTTCTTACTCCTGCTTTTCTATCTACTGAATATTTTTATTCTTCAAGGTCAATCCCTGCTTGATCCTGCTTTTCTAAATACAGTTAATATACTGTAATCTATTAGGTTGTTGGGAAAGTAGTGATGTATTTTCCTATGCAAAAATGTGTCATAACTTCCTGACAACCCAGTATGTTCACCTATCACTTTGTATAATTCTCAATTATATCATCCAAATTATTTTAGAAACTCATGAATATTTGTCTTCTCCGCTATATGGAGAATTTCTTAAAATAGGCATGTAAATCAATCATCTTTATATCCCCAGAAATTAATTATGTTTCAAAAGAGATACCATTTACCCATTTATTCATTAGTTTATCAAATACTTATTGAGTTTCTATTCTGTGTTAGATACTGATGGGTAGAGCAGTGAACCAGCAGAAAAGGTCCCTGCATTATGGAGCTTGCATTTTATTGATCTTTTTTGAGAACCAGCTTCTGTTTTTTCTAACATAGGGATTTTTGAAAATATGAATTATCCTCAAAACCCTGCTTTAGCTGCATCTCATATATTTGGATCTGTTGTATTTTCATTATCATTTAATTAAAAATATTTTCTTCTTTCCTAATTTCTTCCTCTCTCCCTTTCTCTCTCTCTCTCTCTCTCTGTGTGTCTATTTCTTTTTTTTTTTAAGGTCTTGTTCTGTCAGTCCTCCTGCCTCAGGCTCCTAAGTTCTGGGATTATAGTTGTGTGCCACTGCACCCATCCTTTAGGTTGAACTCAGACTTCAACCCAAGACTTAATTAAAAATATTTTAAAATTTCTCTCATGATGCCCTTTTTTTGAACCAGAGGTTATTTAAAAGTATATTCCTTAATTTTTGAACACTTATGGTTTTCCTGGTTATGTTTTTGTTTTTTTATTTCTAACTTAATAGAGTTGTGATCTAAGAACATACTCTTCCAATCTTTAATTTTACTCAGATTGGTTTTATGGTCATAATATGATATATTTTGGTAAACGTTCTGTATGAACTGCCAGTGTTGGGTCTAGTCTTCTATACATATCAGTTAAGTCAAGATGGCTGTGGTATTGTAATTATTAGTAAAAGTGTAAGCCATATTTTTTTTATTAGTTGTTCCATCAGTTGCTGAGAGAGGGATATTAAAATCATAAGGAAAACTATGGAATTATCTTTTTTTTCACTTTAGTTCTATTTTTACCTCATTTATTTTAATACTTTTGTTATTGGGTACATACACATGTATGATTGAAATGTCTTCCTGATGATTTTCTCTTTCCTCATTATGTTTTGGCTTTCTTTATTTCTAGCAATACATGTTATTTGACATCTATTTTATCTGATGTTAATTGTCACTCTAGCCACCTTCTTTTTTTTTTTAAGAGCTACTTTATTTAACTTTATTTATCCATTTATTTTTTTTTTATTTTAATTTGACTAGAGAGGGACAGAGAAAGAGAAAGGGAAAGTGAGAATGCAAGTCTACAGGTCTGGGACTTGAACTGCAGTCGGCCATGTAGGAATCCAGCGCCCTTAACCCCATGCCCCCTGCTGGCCCCAAGCCTTTTTTTTTTTTTTTTTTTTGAGAGGTTTTTCGCTATAGGGCGTGTGCGCTCGCCAGACAGACAGAGAGAGACATAGAGACAGAAAGTGAGAAATCACCCCCCGGGAGGGGATGGTCACTCCGCAATCCCTTCTTCTCCATTCTCCTCTCGGGATCTTGGGCACGCACGCACACGTGCCCGGCATGAGTTTTAAGCCACTGGGTCCAGAACGCGAACCGCAGTCAACTACATGGGAGTCCAGCGACATAGCCATTACGCTAACTGCTGGTTCCCCCCAAGGCTTCTTATACTTATTATCTACGTGGTTTATTTTTCTTCATTTAACTTGTCTGTACCTTTGTATTTAAGTGTCTCTCTCTCGTAGAGAAGAAAAAAATAAATCTGACATTCTCTATCTCTTAATTTTTGTGCTTTATGCAGTTGTTGCATTAACATAATGTTTAGTATAATTATTGCTATATTAGGTTTTCTTTACCATTTTATTTTTAAATTGTCTCTTTCTCTCACTTTTTTAAAAAATTAAACAAGAGAAAGAGAAGGAAGAGGAGAGAGATATTTTTGATAGAAAATTGCCTCATTGCAATCCTCCTGCCCAAACTTCCCAATTAGCTAAGACCACATCGCAGTGTGTGGCCTATTTAGGTGGGTACAGGAACTAGACCTGGGCCTTCTATGCAGCCTCCGCCATTGCACAGTGGTGCCTCCTGCCCAACTTGTACAACCATTGCTGAGCCTCATCTCTCTTTTTTATACCTCTGTTCCCCCTTTCTTTTGCATTATTTGAATATAGAATTTCATTTAAAATTTCCTGTTGGCTTTGTAGCCATGCTTCTTTGCATTACTGTTTAATAGTTTACCAGGGGTTACGATATGCATCTGTGACTGTAACTTACAGTTGTATTAACCACTTGCAGTTAATGACAATAATATATATACTCTGTCTTTTAAGTTATGGTAGTTACTTATATTTATTACATATACATTGTAACCCTTTTAAGACAATGCTTTAGTTTTTAAAAAATTTTATTCATTCATTCATTTATTTCAATTTGACCAGAGACACAGAGAGAGAGAGAGAGAGCAAGCCACCAGGTCCAGGACTCGAACCATGGTGGGCCATGAGGAAGTGTTCAGCACCTTAACCACCACACCACCTGCTGGCCCCCGACAATGCTTTCATTTTTGTCTTAAAGATTTATAAGAACATTAAGGAAAAAGGCAAAAAGATAAAAATTAGTGTTTGAACTTCTTCAGATAACTATCATTTTCAATATTCTCTGTTCTTTTGAGGGTCTGAGTTTGCACCTTATGCAATTTATGCTTGACTTGAAGATCTTTAACATTTCTTGTGGTGCAGGTCTTGTGGTGATTAATTCTTCTTGTTTTTGCTAATCTGTCTTTCTCTTGCCTTCATTCTTGGAAGATATTTTGCTGGATTTATAATTCTGGGTTGAATGTTTTCTTATCCAGTACTAAAGATGTGGTTCCATTCTCTTCCAGTCTCCATAGTTTATGATGAGAAGTCAGCTGTTAATCAGATTCTTGATCCCCTAAATATATCATTTTTCTTCCTATGGCTTCAATATTTGCTCTTCATTTTTGATTTTCTGCAGTTTGACTATGATGTACCTTGAGGTGGGCTTCTTTGCATTTATTTTGCTTTGTATTTGATTTACATTTTGTGGTTGTATATTTCTGTTAAGCAAATTTGGGATGTTTGGGTCATTATTTTCAGATATTCTTTGTACCCTAGGATAACATTAGACAAGGTTCTTAGGAAGGTTCTCTAGAGAATGCCTATTTGAGGATTTGGTTATGCCAAAGCTGGCTGGAAATGTCTCAAGCAAAGGCCACAGCAGATACAGAAGCCAATGTGCTAGAGCACTGGAACTGAAGAGAAGAACGATAACACAAGGCCAGAGAGATCACGTAGGGGCTTGTAGACCCTGGTAGGGAGTCAGGAATTTGGATTCCGTATGTGATTACCACAGCTAGAAGGGTATGTTCACCACACAGACTTGACCACTCACTTTGCTTTGCCCTTGACCGATGGATAATGTGGCCTTGAGGTATTATCACCTCCCTGTCAGTATCCTTGGAATAAATGCTAGAAAGCCTTGCAGATTGGATTTCTGCAGTGTGTGGAAGATTGAAGTAGACACAATTTACTATCCCTTATATTTCTGAGGTTCTCTGATGTCGTGGGTAAAAATGTTGGCCTACAAGTTGAAAAATATAATGGCAATTAAAACCATAGTTTAAAAATGAAAAGTGCAGGTACCAGCAGATGGCGTAATGGTTACATTGCTGGACTCCCACTTGGCCAACTGCCGTTTGAGGCCTGGACCTGGCAGCCTCAAACTCAAGGGCCAGGCACGTGTGTGTTCATGCCCAAAATCCTGAGAGGAGAATGGAGGAGAGGGGATTTCAGCATGGCCAGTCCCCCAGGGGGAGGAGATGATTTGTCATTTTCTGTCTCTCTGGCAAGTGTACACATCCTATAGCAAAAATCTCTCTTTAAAAAATAAAGGAAAAGCAAAGCACAGAGGTAGAACAAGCCAAAACTGTAGTAGCATTCCTTTTTTTTTTTTTTTTTTTTGGAGAGCTTTTTGCTATAGGACGTGTCCACTCATCAAAAAGACAGAGAGAGACAGAGAGACAGAAAGTAAAAAAATCACCCCCCAGGGAGTATGGCCATGCCACAATCCCTTCTCCTTTATTCTCTTCTTGGGATCTTGGGCACACACGCACACGCACTGGGCGTGAGTTAAAGCCACTGGGTCCGGGACTCGAACTGTGGTTGACTACATGGGAGTCCAGCAACATAGCCATTACGCCATCTGCTGGTCCCAGCATTCTATAGTTGTAGTTTATGTGGTGAGATTACTCATTATTTCTGCACAAGAGCAGTTGTCTCCAGTTTTATTTTATTTTACTTTTTTATGTTAAAGCAGCGTGCTAGTGTATGTTTACAGATCCGCATTCCCTGGGGAGCACTTGCAACTCACTCGACCCTTTTCTTTTGGTCTAGATGACAGCGCCTCTGCTTCAAGTAGCATGGAGGTGACGGACCGCATTGCCTCACTGGAGCAGCGAGTGCAGATGCAAGAGGATGACATCCAGCTGCTCAAGTCAGCCCTGGCCGACGTGGTTCGGCGGCTGAACATCACTGAGGAGCAGCAGGCCGTGCTCAACAGGAAAGGACCTACCAAAGGTGACAGTTAAATATGCAGGACAACAGAATTGGTCTCACTGATGATTCTTGCTCTAAAAAATGCATTATACTCTTCAGTGTTAGAAAATCAAAACTTAGAATAACGGTAAAGCAGTCTTAGTACTGTCAGATAATCACACGAGGTATGATGCTGGTCTGATGGTGCTGGACTGTGTAGCCCAGTGGTACACATCTGCACATCATCATTAAATGCTTGTTGAGCCAAGGAAGGAACCGTCCAAATGGACTGATGAGAACAACTGTCTTATTAATATTTTTTGGAATAGAGAGAGCTTGTTAAAAGGACCATGCCCCCTGGGGCTCTTTCTGGAGGCTGCTCCACCTGGAAATGTTTTTAGAGACTCTCTATGTACTCAGCTTACCCTGCCCTGAAGCTCGGCACAGCAAACGCTGAGTCCATCTTATGTCCCATCCGAGGTTCTGAGCCAGGGACTGGGGCAGGGACGGGGTGGGCCGTTGATTGGAGGAGCTCAGAATCTGGAGTATCATGAACTTTACTCCCTCTTCCAGCTGGTAGGCCGCTCCTAGACTGCATCTTCTGCCTCTGCTGGGTCTCCTCTGCCACCCACAAGGACATAGCCCGCTGCAGAGGTCAGGTCCAGTGGATCTCTGGCATGTCCAAGTGATCCTGTCATGTCCCTGTGGCTCCTGGGAATGAGTCATAAAAAAGTAGACTGTGGGGTGTACATGGTGGGCGCCTGAGATGCTGGCCCACGTGGAAGGGGTCTGTGTTCCCACCCAGAGACCCCCCTCAGTACAGTGAGCATGCATGCGCCCATCAGCGGGGCTGACTGAGACTGGGCAGGGTTGTGATGTCCAGAGCCTGTCGGGGGTGTTGTATGTTTCTCTATCTCTCTCATGACAGTAATAAACAAAAAAGTTTTTTTTTTTTTGAGAGATTTTTGCTATAGGGCTTGTACACTCGCCAGAAAGACAGAGAGAGACAGAGAGACAGAAAGAGAGAAATCACCCCCGCAGGGGGATGGCCACGCCACAATCCCTTCTCCTCCATTCTCCTCTCAGGATCTTGGGCACACACGCACACTTGCCCGGCATAAGTTTAAGCTACCAGGTCCAGGACTTGAACCATGGTCGACTACATGAGAGTCCAGCAACATGACCATTATGCCAACTGCTGGTCCCCAAAAAACTTTTTTTTTAAAGCAGCATTCGTGTGAAGTAACTTTGTTGTGAACACTTAAAGTTGTGGAAATACATCCCTGCAGAAAGCGGCCATTCTGCTGGTGAGCAGCTCTGCTCCGACGGCTGCCTATGGTGTGCATCCTTCACCAGGATCGCTTCCCTCTGGCCCTCTCTAGCTTACCCTGGCTGTAGAATTCTTCTGGCTAAAATAGTTTGAGACAGCAGCGTATAAATGTCCCTTCTAAAAGACCTTTTTCTGGAGAGGTTTGTTTGTTTGTTTTTCTTACTGGGCGCATGTGCTCGCCAGACAGACAGAGAGAGACAGAGAGACAGAAAGCGAGAAATCACCCCCCGGGGGGATGGTCACGCTGCAATCCCTTCTCCTCCATTCTCCTCTCGGGATCTTGGGCACGCATGCACACGTGCCCGGCGTGAGTTTAAGCCACCGGGTCCGGGACTCAAACACTGGTCGACTACATGGGAGTCCAGCGACATAGCCATTCCGCTAACTTGCTGGTCCCTAAAAGACCTTTTTCTTATTGTTTGGGTTTAACAAATTACTTCACAGTTAATGTGTTTTCCCTGGAGCCCCCTTCCGTTCTGCCTCAGCACTTGGCCACGTGTCACACGTCTGTGGGAAGAAGTCTCTCTCCGAGCCTCGGAGGAGTTGTCATCTGTTCTGTGGAGATCCTCCTGCCTGGCTGATGTCCCCCTGTTGAATAATCTCAGTCATCCGTTCCTCCTCCTAAGTTACAAAGCGATTACAGTATTTTAAATAGAAACCGGGTTATTTAAGTGTTCGTGACCTACTCAGCTTTCCAGAAATAAGTCCGATGACTGCTGTATCTGAAAGGTCCACTCCAAGTAGCTGCTTTACATGAAGCTTTAGACTTCCTTGCTTTAGTTTTAGAAAATCAGGAAAATGATATAAAGGGCCTGCTCAAGAGATTTATTTTCTTGACCCGCTGGGTGTGTGTGCGTGCATTCCCAAAGTCTTGAGAGAAGGAATTGCAGCGTGGCCGTTACCCCTGGGGAGTGACTTCTCGCTTTCTGTCTTTCTGTCTCTGCCTCTCTGGTGAGCACATGCACGCATTAGCAAAAATCTCTGTAAAAAAAGAGTGAAATGTTGGGGCCAGCAGGCGCCATGGTGGTTAAGGCATTGGACTCCCACATGGCCAACCCTGGTTTGAGTCCAGACTTAGGGACTTGCTTTCTCACTTTCCCTCTCTGGTGAGTACACATGGCCTATAGCAAACTTAAAATAATAATAATAAATAAAGATAAATAAATAAATAAATAAATAGTAAAATTAAAAAGTAATTTAAAAAATCAAAAGGAGTGAAGCTTGTAGCCAGCCGGGTGGCATAGTGGTGAAGGCAGCTGAATCCCACATGACTCTGCAGTTTGAACCCTGGACCCAGAGGCTTAAAAAAACACATTGAAGGGACCAGCAGTTCACGTAATGGCTATGTCGCTGGACTCCCATGTAGTCGACCGCGGTTCACGTCCCGGACCCGGTGGCTTAAAACTCACGCCGAGCACGTGTGCGTGTGTGCCCAAGATCCCGAGAGGAGAATGGAGGAGAAGGGATTGCGGCGTGGCCATCCCCCCTGGGAGTTGATTTCTTGCTTTCTGTCTCTATGTCTCTCTCTGTCTGTCTGGCAAGCGCATGCGCCCTATAGCAAAAAAGACTTCTCAAAACAAACAAACAAACAAACAAACAAACAAAAACACATGTGTGCACGTGCTCAAAATCCCAGAGGGGAATGGAGCAGGGACTATGGTGCGGCCATCCCCCCGGGGGTGCTATTGAGCTTTCCCTCCCAATCCTGGGGAGCTCACACACCCTGCAGCAAAGTTAAAGAAGAAAAAGAAAAAACAGGGACACTTGGACCAGCTGTGGCTGCATGGACACAATGTTCCTCTTTGTCTGCAGCAGCAGGCCCAGGTTCGCGTCCCCAGGGCTCCCTGTACCTCCAGGGCACGCACGTGTGCCTGCAACCCAGAGGGCCGAGACTCCGGTCTCCACAGACCTGTCTGGGGGTGCCCGTCTCTCTTCTCTCTTTCTCTCTTTGAAGAATCAAATAGAAAACGAGCGAAGTTTAAGTTTTATGGAACTTCTAAGAGAAATAAACCTTTTATAGGTATCTACTATCTTTATATAAGTGAGAATAAAGACACTTTATGTAAGTGTCTTTTAATAAATCAAAGCATGACAGCCAGAAGGTCCCGCCAAAACACGGGGGGAAAATATCACAAAGAAGTGAGTCCGTGGGGCATGTGCCCTGAGGGCAAAGGGTCACCGGCCCCACTCCCATCCTGGCCCTGAGGGCAGCGGGTCCCCGGCCTCACTCCCATCCTGGCCCTGAGGGCAGCGGGTCCCGGTCCCCACTCCCGTCCTGGCCCTGAGGGTAGCGGGTCCCGGTCCCCACTCCTGTCCTGGCCCTGAGGGCAGCGCGTCCGGTCCCCACTCCCGTCCTGGCCCTGAGGGCAGCAGGTCCCGGTCCCCACTCCCGT